GGGRTACTGGTAACGAGATTCTGCCGAGCAACTGTACTACAAGATTTCTGTCTGTTTACTTATTGTTACGCAACGTTCAGGAGCCTTTAGCCCTCAAAAACGTGTTTTATTTGGGAAAGCTAGTTTATTAGTTTCTTGGAAAAGTTGTTATTTTTGAGAGTACTATAACCGCTTGTTACTTTCATCTGGCTGGCGGGACATAGCAAGATACAAAACAGATAATTCCTCCGAGGAACCCATTGGTCCCTTTAAAAATCATTCAACACTTAYCGACATATTATGAACCTTTGAAAGCAAGATGTAGACTCAAATATATGACTATTTTCAGTTTAGTCATCAATAATCAAATATAATTCGAAGTGATTCGCTACAAATGAAAGAAAATAATAACACAGATTAATTTTATATAGAAAAGACAATTTTCATTTTTTTTCCCTAAAATTAGACTTTTGTGAAAATAATCACCAAGCGTTTACTACAAATTGCTAAAAAATCCGATCTTGAGTTGATTTTAATGCGAAAAGAATCTTTCATCAATTTATCTATTTTTGGTATCAATGCATCTAGTTTTGAACATGTATTGATAATATTGCCGAGGTGCATTTCGCGATCAAACACGGACGGTGCGTCAAAGCCATTACCCAGTCGAGTCGCCTTAAGCAAACTGAAAACTTCTCGTCAGGGTTAACATCGGCAAAAGATTAAATAGACGATTGAACCAGGCTTACTCGAATCGAACTTCACGTCACAGAAAACTGTACAAAAATATCTACATATTTTTTATACCTTGATTTTTGAACTTCTGATGAAATTAAGCTTATTGTTGATTTTATTGTCGGTAAGTAAAACTGAAACCAAAGCAAGAGAAAAAAGAAAAAAAAAACAGTACAACTTTTCCGTTATCTCTCGGCCACTGCCGAGTACAATTGTTCTCTCTGCCAGAACCTCGGTACATTTAATCCATAATCTCTCGGCCACAACCAATCCTGAAATACTAATGGTGATTTGATTTTTTTTGTTGTTGTTGTTGTTGTTGTTTTTTTGTTGTTGTTTTTTTTGTGTGTGTACGCTTACTGAACTAGAAGACCTAAGAAATATAAGAAATACCTTGGAATACGTTGGGAATTACCTAAGACTTACAATCTAACCGAAAGATATTTTTTTTAGTTTTACTTGATGAAGAAGACTTGATTAGTCGAAAATGTTTGTACGGCTTTTAAGTTTTAAAAACACTTTAAATACGCTGTTGTTGTTGTTGTTGTTTTTTTGTTGTTGTTTTTTTTGTGTGTGTACGCTTACTGAACTAGAAGACCTAAGAAATATAAGAAATACCTTGGAATACGTTGGGAATTACCTAAGACTTACAATCTAACCGAAAGATATTTTTTTTAGTTTTACTTGATGAAGAAGACTTGATTAGTCGAAAATGTTTGTACGGCTTTTAAGTTTTAAAAACACTTTAAATACGCCTTGAGTTTTTAAAACATAACAAATACAATAACGCAATAAACTAACTCCAATGGGCCTGACGAGAACAAAATAAAAAATAACAGACCCTTTGTAGTATAGATATCGGGGCAGGAATAAAAAACAACGTCAGAGCTAGATTCCCAACATTTATTGAAAATACGCTTCAACTAAAGTGAAGAACGAACTCATCATCCAATAAATGTTTCAGTAAAGAAAAATTACAATAAAGTATAGTTTAACTGCTAAATTTACCTAATTGTGGCTTCTCACCATTGTCCTTATGATCTTTCAGCAGCAAACGTTGAAA